AGAGAGAGAGAGAGAGAGAGAGAGAGAGAGAGAGAGAGAGAGAGAGAGAGAGAGAGAGAGAGAGAGAGAGAGAGAGAGAGAGAGAGAGTAGGAAGTAGTATGGTCTTGCACACCCGAGATGATGGAATGAATGGGAGAAGAGGACTTTCATTATCAACTCACTTCGGCATTTTTTGTGCGTGTTCTTAATGTAACTTGGAGTGATCTCGGCTTTGCCAATTCTGCTTCCGGATTGGTCTGACTCAGCTCATGCATGCTGTTCAATCATCAATGAGTTTGTGTAGGTCATAATTTTCGTGTTCTGAACTTCTCAGAGACTGGTTGCTTGCACAACCCTCATGTGACCTCGGACTCCGAGAGATTAAAAAGGAAGGTGCAAAAGAGAGAATTTGTGCTTCTAACCTTGTGTAATGTCTTGGCTTGGTGGTGGTGCTGGGGGGGGGAGGGACGGGGAGGGAATGGTGCTTTCTGCAGGTGGGGTGCTCATCATGGCTGGAGACGTCCTGACCTGCGTTGATGCTGGATCTATGGTGCTCCCTAATGAGGGGGCCCTTGTGATCACAAAGCCAGAAGATCTGGACGTAGCTTCAAGGCATGGCGTGATTATTCCGGAAGCTTCGTCGAATGCTCGTTGTCTTCGAAAATATGACACCTTTGCTGTGCAATCGTCGACGGTTTCACAGCTGTCATTGCTCAACGCGGAAGAGACCTCAACTTGTGCAGGAGAGAGTGTTGATGGGGACAAGACCTCACAAGGTGAAAAGGTGAATGATTACGATGATGTCAGCACAAATCGGCGAGGTGTCGATCGGTGCAGCGGAGTAACAGATACCTGCCAGTTTGCAGCACCGCCGGTGCCGATGCCGTCCGTGGCGGCACCGAGGCCAGTGAAGGGGCTATTGCAGAAACCAACGGTTGAGGAGATGTTGGAGGCAGGGGCACTGCTGTCAAGCAGTTCTGCTCTGATCGATACAGGAATCTTTGCTGTGCGCGGCAAGGCATGGCGGAATCTCATACATTTGGCATCCAGGGCTAGTGAGCTGCTCGACCGTCTGATGCGCTCTGGAGAAGAAATCAGCTTGTATGAGGAAATTGCTGGAGCCTGGGTTCCGTCAAGACATGCCTGGCTGGCAGATCGACCGTTGGGAGCAGAGCTCCTTGCACACCTTGGTCGTGACAGACTGTACCATCACTGCGCAGGTGAGAGAGGGGGATAAGGGTGCTGAGAGGCTGGGGGTCATGTGTGTGTGTGTGTGTGTGTGTGTGTGTGTGTGTGTGTGTGTGTGTGTGTGTGTGTGTG